GGGGGGGGCGGGGAGGAGCCTAGTTATGCCTTCAACTTCCAAAGCATTATCAATAATCCTGCATTTCCTATGGGGCTCTAGATAGCCTACTATTCTCTTTTTTGAAACTTTTTTCCTCCCATTCATAATTACTTAATCAGTATTATAAGGTGGTTTTAGGGAGAAAATTAAAAAAAAGGGAAGACAACATTTTTTACATTCTCCTCTCCCACAAAACATCTTTACTAATCGTTACAAAGTACTCTACAAAATCTCTCCTGTTTCTAATGCTGCTACCAACAGACTGTCCACAGCCCTTTCAAAAGCAAGAGACAAAGCTAAGAAAAGCTTGCCCAACAATTGTGTCTGATCTATGAAGACACGTTTTATGACAGATTGATTACAAAAATCGGTTAAAAAAAAAAAAAACATCAGAACAGCAACATTTCAGTAGAATCTTATTCTTTTATTGTAATGAAATAAGAGTTGCATTTCCAATGTTTTCAAAATGCTTTGCTTTACAACTGGAGAGGAAAAGTAGCCTATAAACAGAGCTCTAGAGCTTCTAATGCAGCATGCAACAGACCAGCTCTTTCATTACTTCATGAAGCGTTCCTTTTCAAAGCTTTTCCACAACAAATTTCTCCAGTGTTTCTGGCATCATATTTTCTTAATGCTCACAGAATTAGTGTTATTTATTACTAAAATGTAAACGTCTCTTCTTGGACTTTCACCCTTGGATCAGATGAAACTTGCTATGTATGGAAGAGTAACGAATCACTATTTAATTGACTTAGATCCCAGCTGTACTAACTGAAGCTCAGTAAACATCAGCTGCAAAAGTGGAAAAAAAACCCCCAAAAAAACCCAAAAACCACCACCAAAAAAAATGCCACTGAAGGCAATGCTGCTTACATGACAAAAGTGAATTCCTTTAACACTGTTGCCCATCTTGTCCAAAGGAGGTGACCAGCACATCAAGCCCATGACATTAGGAACAACCAGAAGAATCCCACCAGCAACTCCAGACTTTGCAGGAAGACCAACCTATAGAATAATTAGAGAATTACTGTCCTCTGCAAACATTCTTCACTATTGTAACACAATGCATTAGCATTTTACTGAAGGTTATGCAACATTTATAAAACATAGATCTGGAAAGCATTTTAAGCTGGGAAAGCATTATTACTTATCTGTTTTTAGACAGACAATAACCTGAAGCACAAATCACAGCAATCCGAGATACACAATCATAAAGTTACTCGCTCTCAGTAAAACAGAGTCAGCGATACAGTTATAATAGATTTGAATTATCTTTTTCAAAAAGCAATTATGACTAAGCAGTAGTACATAAGCGTATCTGTCATGAACAGTTTGCAACAAGGCAGTAGTACAAAGCTATATACCGAAAAAAAAAAACCCCGATTGGAAAAGGTAAAAAACAAAAACCTAAGAAAACAGAAGACTCTGTCCATAAAGTCATGCAATAACCTACTTATTTACAATCTGGATAAAGGTATTGCTTTTTTCCTACAGAAAATATATCACATATCCCCATAGCTCTGTAAGCAGTAACTTTTAGGTCACACAGAGCATCATAATCAGTTTTACATGTATGCAATGAGGAAAAACTAAAAATGCTTGAAACAAGATGCTGAAAACACAAATAAGATGCACTACATCTTGAAATACTTACTTATAAGAAACATACTGCTGGAAAATAGAAGCATGGTACATATGCTGTGTATGACAGCCACTTTTATGACACACAAGAGTAATTCATGAGACAGCCCGAGTCAATGAAGAAAAAGCAATCTGCAGAGGCTTTCTGCTATCCTTTACTACCACATAGAAGGATTTCTTCAGTTATGCTGTTTCCAGTTACATCTGCATCAATCACCTGTTTCCCTCATGAACAGCCTTTCTTAAGGGACAGTATTTATATGCTTCAATGTGAAAAGGATTCCCAAATGCAAAGTGGCAGAGAAGAGTAAGTACTGTAAGGTATTGGGTACTAGTAGTGCCATGAATTCTAGATGAGATTTTCCCATATGGTGTGTTCAATTTCTAAACAATTCATGTAACGCCCCCTCCCCCAGAAGCAAGCAAGCAAGCCCTGGAACATGGAAAACAGTAACACAGATTAATCTTCCTGGTCAGCACTAATTAGTAACTGAAAACTACTTACATGGAAGGCAAACTGCCCTGAAAAGTCATACATGCCACAGGAATGCATTAAACTCAAGGTATTCCGGACTGCTTCAGGACTCAGTACTCTTTCACCAGTGATTGGGCAAAAGCCACCATTAGCCAGAGTTGCTGCCATCACACTTGCCGATTCACACGTTACTTCTATTGAGCAAAGCTTATGAAAAAGAAATTGAGATCATAAGAAGTGATACTTCTAGCACAATAACGCCAACTATAGCAGGATCAACAATATGTCTCTATAGAAATAACGTTTTGTAAAATAACCTGTAGCGTAACATTTATTACAGGTGATGCTAATAGCATCAATTAATATGGTCTGAATCTTCCTATGATAAAGATCCCAGCAACAGTGTTTGTAAGCCCTCTTAATAGTTTAGGATAGTATTTTACACGGGTTAGTGTCTCCACGTGATTCCTCCCCCCGCCCCCCCTTATGTTCCTTTGAGAGGAAGAGGTCTGGGAAACAATCTCAGTATTTTGCATCTGCTTAAATGGCAAAGCCACAGAATGACTGGGTTTTTTCAATTTGAGTTTGTTTTGTGTGGCTTTTTTTAAGCCTTAGAAGACCACACACGTCTATTAAAAGTACATTTTAAAGCTGCAAACTCTAGCACATGCAAGTCTTAATGCCAGCACCTCCTACTGATGCAGCCTTATTTCACCTTTCTCTCATATATGCTTCTTGATAGATTAATGATACGACCATGTGATAGTTTCTCCCAGGATCCCTGCTTCAGTACAGACTATACATACTTTGGTGACACATCAGGAAATGTGATATGATGCCATCACCTGATGCTGCCTCATTTCTGCAGAAACCAAAAGATAAGCTGGTTTCAACCTGAAGCTGAAATGCTACTCTGAAAAGCAAACAAACTAGTGCTGGTATTCTTGCTTTTGCCAAACAGTCATTACATGATACTTCATGAAGTTACCTAAGCCAAGTTTGCATGAGTAGTTACTACCTGGAATTCTTATTTTCCGGGTGCCAAACTCAATACATCCTAGTCCAATCAACTGGAGTTGCAAATCAAGAGATTGTCAGAGACGCATCTAAAATGGCAACTGTGTTTTAAACATATGAAGTATTACATAATATCACCTACTTTGAAAAAAGTGTTTCTAGGTTCTCAGTTTAAGCACCTGCATTTTGTACCTTGGTTCTCTAAAATGAGAATAATCCATCCTCACTTTACACAGACAATAGGAAAATAAGTTTATTCCTGTTCAGAAAGTTCCCAATTACACAAGGGAGGAAGGAGCATCACAGAAAACCCCCCAAAAAGAGATAACTAGCCTTTTAAGTAGAATCCAAGTAGACTGTTTGCAAGTAAGCATTGTACAGTGAGAAGAAAACAGAATTGCCGCTCATATATGAGCTGCCCTTTTTCCAAGTATGGAGTGAAAAGGGGATCTTGCAAGGGAAAAAAAAAGAATGACACGTAGTCGTGAAATTAGAGATCATAATGCACGAAAATGAGGCCAAATTAAAATACCTCAGAAAAGTCAGTTTTGGCATTTCTTAACATATGAATAGCTTTGCACTCAGAAGTGTATCAGGACTTGAGGCAGTGGGATAGGAAACATTTAAAAAGCATGTTTAAACAGTAAATTCAAATAATTTAATCAGTTTTGTTCTGTAATAACAGAAGTTCAGAGTAGACTATTAGCTTGTACCTAGCTTCCAACTCAACAAGAGGTCAGCTAAGGCTAATCACATATACCTTACTTCATAAACAGTCATTCTATTTAAAGATTAGAGCAGGTGCATCCCAATACAAAAAACTCAGATAAAATTTGCATTTTAAAAAATATTGTTTATAATTTGCATAAGTAAAAGGCAGGTCTCATGAATCAAAAAGCAATTAATTTTGAGAACTCTGGACTTGGTTTTTTTTTTTTTCAAACTATCCCAGACAGACTGTATGAGCAACACAACTTGAACTGCCTCTGGAGAACTACATGCAGCAGAGCTGACTGAGTTCTGAATGTTTTAACATTAGGAAACCCTTACTGAGGAAATACCTCACTCTTGCCAAGTTCTCATTTTGTGACAGTTGCAAATAACTTGCTGAAAGTGAAAAAGAAAAAAAATGTGGGAGGGGAGAATATATGACTAGATTCTTTGTTTTACTCATAAGCATTGAGTCAAACAAAAAGGAGGAGATATTCATATTATTTCATTTATAACACTACCCTTGAGCTTACAATAGAGCATGCACACACTATTTTAGTTACACACGGAGTTTAAAGTACTTCACAGTACAATAAAGAAGAGCAACCCAAAGAAGCAGAAATATTTTGTCAAACTCACTGAAGTAATACAAGACATTTTAAGCTTCTAACTACTAGTGTTTTAAAGACTATTGCTAGTTTGCATTAGCAATAAAGACACCTAAGTACATCACCTAAACAAAAGCAAACCTAGATACATCAAACGTACATCATTCATTTCCAGAGTTTAACAGAAGCTGACAAGTTTAACTATAAGCCGTTAAAGCCTTCATATCTTGAACAAAGCAGCTTCTACCACTTATTATACTAATATATAGTGTATATATATACAGTAATATAATAGTATTCTAAGTCTATACTGAGTCTCAATTTTAAAGTCAGTTACCTGAAAATAGAAGTCTAGTATAGCAACCATGTCCGTGCCTTCAGGAAAGCACTGAGGAAGAAAAATAAAGAGAGACTTTAGGTAAAAACCATTATTTTTTTTTTAAACATCACTTTTAGATAGACATACATTAAGCTATATTCTTGTTAGCACGTTACGCAGATTTAAAATTAAGTACTTATTTCAATGTAACAAGTGGAAATATTGAATCACATCAGATTTAAAAATAACAGCACAGTGAGGTCAATAAGCTAAGTATTAAAACATTTTTCAGTACAGCTTTGAAAATCTTTAAATCAGCAAGCTGCAAAATGCATTTAAAAGTATTATAAAGTCATCTGTACAGCACAGATTACGCACGTTACAACAAATAAAACAAATTATCATGGCTATGATACAGAAAAAGATTACAGGTATTCTATTAGAATGACATAAGTATCATACTTTCTAAATGACAGCATTTTGAGTAACGGTATGAAAACATATACAGTATTAGAGTAATTCATGCCATACTGCACATTAAATAAACTAAAAATCTTCACAGACTATAGGAAAAACCCACCACAGCCTTCAAAATACAATAAACAAGAGATCAACCTTTTTTTCTTTCAAGTAATAGCCGATTGCAAAGTTTCTATCTCCACTCTCTCTTTCAGACTGGAACCTTTAAAAAAAAAAAAAAAAAAAAAAAAAAAGACAGGGCAACATGTCAAACTTTCAAAAAACGCTGAACTTGAGAAACACGCAATTCAGTAAAACTGCATGTAAAGGATAAATTACTTCTGAACATATTCTACTAACGTGACAGAAATTGCCACAGAAACTCACCCCAGTACACCCAGTTCGAGTGAATTAACTTTGACATCCAAGTACACACAGTAGGGGTTACCTACACATACAGAAGCTGACTTGGAGATAAGGCAAAGAAGTGTAAGATCCTGCTCTTAGAAGCATTTCTAAAAAGGCCAGAGTGGAATGAAACATCCCACAACGAGCTGTAGTGAAAGGGTCATTCACTGACAACACTGACCAAACTAGAGAGGAATCCGAGGATGAAGTCGCAGGTCAAATAGCGATCAGACTGTTGGCTGCACTGTTTATCATGATGATTAAGTTCAGGATGAAACCTAGAGGAGGAATCTGTACGGACATAAGGGTAGATAATTCTCTCCTGCCTGGTTCCTTCCATGGTAAACACCTTTACATTAACAAAGCTCAGGAACAACACTAGTTACCTCATACTGCTTCTCGCACGTGCATGCCAACTAGCAACTTGGAAGCAGCTCTGCTGTATCGAAACTTTATGATTTTCCCAGTGCTGCCTTGAAAAGCTCTCAAGATTTTTGGAATGATATACATTGAGTTAATGGGGGGGAATTGTTTTACAAAATGATTTAAATATGCAAAATAAAAAAGCATAAAAAGTCCCAATTGTATAAAGTATGATTTCTAAACATTTGATACACGGCCATCAACATGCAATTTAATTTTTAATACGAATGCCAGGAAGGTAAGAGTCACACTTACAGCTCCCACTGCCACAGCACCAACAGAGCACTAAGAATAATGTAATTTCGAAGAGGTAACCGACACTTTTGTGTGAGATTTAGCCACACTGATGTCAGAGATATGCACAACTTCAGTTCTTGCAAATTTGAAGCCAAAGACACCCTCTAATATTAGGGATTAAATGATGGTTTCAATGTAAATAACTAAACTTCACCATAAGCTCAATAAACCAACTGTCAGTTGAGGCATTTTCCATCTAACTTTGTTACGCAAATAAAAAATACTCACGTAGCATTACTGAATCCAACATACTCATTACCAGCCATTTTATTCATGAATTGCATCACCTGTTAGAGACAGAGAGGAGGGGGGAAGCATGCTAACATTTTCAGACATGAAGAGGTTATAACTGATACTTTCAATCCAGTCTTACCCTAAATCTTGTAACACAATTTTACAAATGCAATCCAAATCACTAAACGTTTAAACAACCAAGTACAGATAAAAAGACAAAACATTTGAAATTACTAGAACTTCATTTGCAATTCCCTTGCCATCTTGACTTTTACCACTGAATTCAGTTAAAAAAGGAATGTTATAACATTAACTTACGTAGTCAAATTTTTCTGCATTATTTGCTCCTTGCTGCAAGAAAAGAAAAAATAATTTACAAAAATTGTTAACATAAGAAAGAAGTTAGTTCAATTAACAGTATTAGGATTTTTAACACGTATAACTAAGGTATGAGGCTAATTAAGAATAAGGTACTACAATCATTTCATATATTAATGAAAAAATTAAAGTGTTAGATAAGTAAATCTTTAATTATCGTTTAAATTAAATAATCCTATAAGAGTCTTATCAAACACCTGTATGTTGGAAATTAATTTAAACTGAAAAAGGTATGCTTTATTTTAAGTGCTCTCTATTCAACTTTACGTGTTTAGCATAAGTAAATGTAGTAAAAGCAAAAAATACAAAAGTAACTACAATCAGGATAATTATAATGAAAACACTAACTTTTTATGGATTAGTAACCCAAAGGTATTCTTATATTATCAACAGAGCTGAGCATAGGAAAGTTCAGGCTACTGAAGTTGAAATATTTCCATGGCTAGCACCCATACTAAGAATTTAGATTCAAGACTTAAAATAAAGTGTTACACCTTACTATGAAAATAATCGCATTTAATAAAAAAATATCTGATTTGATTAATAGCTGATTAACGTCCTACCTATTAAAAATTAAATAGAAAAATAGAATTTCACATCACAGAGTACATCATTGTGCTAACAATGTAAGGAAAAATCTAAATGCAACTTAATAAGGATGCTAGTAAAACTTAATTTTTAGGGTTGGTTGGTTTGTTTTTTCAGGGAGGACGAGGGGTGTTATTTTGGGGCTTTTTTCCACCCCCCCTCCCGTTTAAGAACATTCTCAAATTTAGTAGCTGCCAGTTAAAGATGCATTAATTCTTTACAGGTCTCTGACAGGCGACCTTTCACAAATTCCTACAGCAACATGTTAAAAGAAGGGTAGGAGGTAAAAAAATAGCACATGGTCTATTGGGGGAGTTTTTAATTTTTTGTAGTAGCCAAGTAGAGTTTTTTAAGGAAGTTGAAAACACAATGGCATCACATACACAAGTGGAAACGATGTATCTGGAGAAGATGTTTCTATAAGTAATTTTAGTATTAAAGATACTCTATTTAGATAACAAAACTCTGTTTAAACATATCTCAAACAATTCAAGACACTACTTGCACTGTGTTTAGTACGGGAATGGGGAAGGAAGTGGAAAAAAACTGAAGCTTTATATCAACCAGTATTTTACTTAATGAAATGCGTAAAGCCAGTCTCTGTATATGGATTAGGGTGTTGCAGATAAATCTTTGAAGCCCATGCATCAGCTCATCTACAAGAGGATGTGCAGTCGTACACGTACGATCACTAGCTGAAAGGAACACCACACTGTTTTGTCAAAATTATGCACCAGTGGTTACCTTATGTTTAAAGGCCAATAACCTTACTCTTAAAAGCAGTATCTAGCTAATTTACAGTAAGATAAAAAAAATCATGATACATTTCATCAAAATGTTCCTGTATAATATACCAGAACACAAGTCTTAAAAATTTTACTCCAAATCTGTTCAATGAAAAATAATTAAAAGAAGAAATTACCAACTTCATTGAACTGTTGCAGTTGTCAAAATATTCCATAGATCCTAATGCTGTAAAATATGTAACAACATTTAAACCACAAAAACCTTTTCAACCTTTCAAATGCACAATGAACATCTTTTTCTGGGAAAGTGGGTCAGCATTAGTTATGGGATGCTGCATTGATAATTGTATGGTTAGACATGTATAATAAATTGAAACAAGTTCTTTTGTTAAAAAAAGAAAGAGGGAGAAAGGGATCATGCTTTCTGCAAAAATATAAATACATAACACTTCACTTTTTTTTTTCCCAGTTGAAAAAATATTCCTAGCCCTTCAACAAAAACGTGGCTTTACTAGCAGCATATAAAATTGATGGGCAAAAGATTCAATGCAAACTTTTTCCACATCAACTTGTTATAAAAAAAAAAAAGGTTTATTTTTAAAATTTACAGCTAATCTCGTATTTTGGGAAGAAAATCTTCTGCATGCTAACTCAGATGATGCGGTTTTAGTCCTTGATGTTCCACACACTTGTATAGGTACTTCATATCAAACACAAAAGCATTGATACTGAAATTAGACTGCTTGTATACCTAAAATATTTGCCTAAGTAATCATATGACCAAGACCTCAGTAGGGATTTAACATAACGTGTAACTAAAATAGAAAACTTTGCTTCCATACACATGATGACTAAAAAACCCAACCTATTAGTTTCCCTCTTTCAGCAGCTGACAGAGGTATGCTGCTCCTCCTAAAAAGCTGAAGAGACACAGAGGCAACACACATTCTATGATTAAAATTCAATAGCAAACATAAAATCCTAACATTCAGAATACAGAGCAACTTCTCCATAATAATTTAAACAAATATAAGAGACAAGAAAACTTCTGTTCTTGCACAAGTGCATCTTATTCTTAGCTTGACTGTGTAAGTCTATGAGGTTGGGGGCACTGTGACAATATTTCTTAGAAAGCATTTTTATTTAAGTTCAGATGCAATTCATCTGTCTAGAACATCAAAGGAAACATTCCATGCACTAACTCCACAAACACTTAGTACATTTACTGAAACATATGTTCATATACACACTTACTATATACATGCTTGTGTGTATATACATATGAAAAAACACTTCTAAATCAATACAAAATGAAATTGAAAATGTTAAGATTGAAGCAGTTTGATAGGCAGAAAATTCAAACTTGCAGAAGACAGCTCAATGCAATTTTGTAAACATTAAAAGCACAGTGGGCACTATGGCTGTCAATCAAATTTGAATTTTTTGACTGTGTCAGGTTTCAGTGATCTCCCCCCCCCCTTTTTAAAAAAAAAAAAAAAAAAGTACTTTTATTATTTGTATTTCTACTAAAAAAATATAAGCAGTTGCACAGGTTGCATGCCTACATGTACATAGGAAAGAAGAGACACATGGATACTTACCAGAGCTTGCAACAACAAAATTAGGTAATATTTATTAGAAAAGTAGTTAATATTAGCCACTTTTCATTGATCAACATCCAGTGTTTATATGATTAGGCCACATAAGCTCTTACCATGTGTCTCTTGTTAAAATAATTTTTCAATTTTGAATCTAAGCCAAGCTAATAAAAACATCTGGATCATGAGAAGTTTATAATCTTCTAATAATAGAAGATTATTTAAAAATTTCTGGAATTTTTGAAAGCCAAATTCGTAACCTAACACTATACTGTGACAGAACCATCCAGGGTGGGTGGGGGGAAAGGAAATCTTAACACTATGTCAGAGAGCAAGAAAACATTTTTTTACATTTGTGCATTTTACATTAACTTAACTATTAATGTCTTTATTTTAGTTTTCTGTACTTACACATGTTTTTAATTTTATTTGTTAATCTGGGCCTGTTCTGTGAGAACTGGTGTCTTGACTGCTTAGCGTGCCACTTTCAGCTCTGAAATACTTGAGAGCACACTGTCACAGACAGTATTTGACCCATTAAGACCAATACTATTACTATTTCAAATACCTGTAAGAATTACTTTGTGTCCTTCAGGTATTAAATACTTGCATATGTGACCACTGAATACATCTCATTTCAAATATCACTACTACATATTCTATGTCAAACAACATCCAATGCATCTGAGTTACAATAAAATGCAAGTGCAGAATAACGTGAACATACGTTCTATTCAAAATTAGTTACTACAAGAAGATGAATAACCCAGGGAGAGAGGAACCTTCACCAAAATAAAGACAAGTATCTGGCAGAGAAGATCACAACACCAACACATTTTAAAGTGGTATGCATGTACATTTACACATCAGTCTATCAGGAAGGACAACTGGAGTGGGTAGCATAGAGCAATTAAGCTAAATCTGTACTATTTATTCTAACTATACTGTCAAATAAACCCAATAAACCAGGGATTTTCCCACCCCTCAAGTATTAGAGCGTAACTTCAAAGGTTTCGTAGTAACTATATCCTGACACCAAACAGACCCTTGGCACAGCTGAACAGGTTTTTCCACCACTCTTTGCCTCTTATTTCATGACTTATCAGCATATTTAGAAAGCTCTTAAGTATATCAATACACCTCTTTCTGTCTTGTACAAAAAAGAAAAGACTTCATTGAATTAAGTTTTTTCAAGGTCTGTAAGATCAGCATTTTCATTTTCTCGTACACCAAATTTTTTGCAAGGACTATAAATATTGCTACGCCCCCCCAACATGTCTAAAAGCTTCCCATGTTAATTCACACCATAGAACACCTTCCTTCACCCAGCATTCAAGTCTATCATCACTGTCCGTAAGATTCTGCCTGGGGTTGTAAGCACTTACAGGATTTATATACAGTGTATTTGCCCAAACCTTTGCTGTTATACTAGCAGAGCTTTTATCTACAGATGGAGTCTTGTAGCATACAATAAAAATTACTTAAGATTAATCCCTTGTCCTCTGGCAATTCCTTCCACAGCCATCTGCCACCTTCTACATATTTCACTCTGTACTCTTCCTCTTCATCTCATCTGCACCTCTAACACGCTACCCTCCCCAGTCAGTAAAGACAGGTGGAAGTGGGCAATTGCTGACACGACCACTCATATTCCTGGAGTTGACACACTTTGAGAACTGAGTTTAAATTTAAGAAAAAACAACAGATCAAAGCATTAAAATCTATCCATCCTACAGCCAATGAGGACTTTTCCCAGTCAGCGTGAGGTACAGAAAAAACAGTGTGTGGTTACGGAGCACTGAATCTGTACAGGAGCTGAACCATCTTCTTTCAAGCACCAGTATTTCCTTGGAGACATGGAAGAATTTACCATTTTATGTAATATCACTTTCCCACAAACTCCTGTAATTGCCACTACAATTTTCTTTTGATAAAAAGGATTTGAAAACTGTTATACCTATGTAATTTATATAACTAGTAATACAGGCAAATGGCTGTACAATTACAAACAAGGGAAAAGGTCCTCAGGGTTTTTGAAAATTTTATTTCATTAAAACTGGCCCACAGGATGTGCTTTTGCTAAAGCCTTTTTATTGCAGATACACGCTCTAAATTGCTGGAACAGTCCGTGGAGTGTAATACAAGTACAGTTAGAACAGAGCTGCGAGTTAAGGCACCAAAACGTAAATACATCATAGTTCCAAGCACATGACAGTAGGAGAATCATTTAAGCTGGTAAAAGCATGATATAGTCATGCCTAAGTAAGCTAAACATACAACTTAACATGCACATACACTTTACTATTATAAATAGCAAGGACTAAACATAACATTACAGTTTTGGTCTATGCTCTGTTCTGAGGTGCACATACCAAATTCTTAAGGCAGTCAGAACTGGATATGTGATGCTAAGAACCCTTTTTTCCCCCTAAAATGTTAACATATTACATATTCGGACAAAAAGATTACTCCAAGCATCGTCTCTTAGTAATCATAACTTATGTCAGATTCTAAGGGCAGTTGTGTGCAAGATTATGCATACTAACAACTACTAAATTCAGTACAATGTATGTAAATTTTGAAAGACTTCTTTTATCAATTTCTCAGAAAGATAAAATATTGACTATCAGAGGTGGTAAAAGCATTCTTAACACTGAAATACCGCAATAATCTCTCTATAGCAATCAACATACTATCATTAGATAAATCTGTCATACATGGCGAATTCGACCATGTTTAATAATCCCTTAATTTTCTTGGATTCTAGGAGCCATACAGAGTCTTCAAGATACGCAAGTAACACCTTAAAAAAACAGAATAAATGCAGAGGAACTGAGGGCAAAACATGGGTTAATGAAGCCACCTTTTTCACAAAAAACTAAGTCTTAGATTAGATCAAATATAAATGTGAATTACTTAAATCACCGAATAGTTAATAGGAATATTGTTAAATTGCAGATTATAAAGAAGTTATTCCACAAAAAGATACAACTATTAAGTAACTTTGTACCTGTGACCCTCTATGTAATTTTCTTCAGAGTATGTTTAGTTTGGTTATTCAAATGATAAATGGTATCTTAGTGGAAGCAGTACATAAAATAATCTACATTTTAATCACACTGAAAACAAATAATGGAGTGTGATAAATATGATATGCGTCCATTAGACGTGCAGTTACCACATGCAAAAACATCAGTGCAATGCAATACTCTTCATAAGAACATTACAGCAAAAAAAAAAACCACCCCAAAAATAAAAAAACACCCAGCAAAAACAATTCCCCAACCTTCTAACAAATATAACAGTTGCATGCAGTAAACAAATCCATGTTATCTATTTAGAAGTACAAAATTTATCAAGAACTATGTGCCTTCTGCAAGAGGCACAAGCTTGCGTTTTGCCTTATGACCAGTAGGGCATGTTGTAGTAGGACTAACATTTTGACAGTTCAGACAAATGTGCTAAGTCAGATTTTAAAATTCACTATTATCCAAGTGAATTTCAATGCTCAGTCAACCTTTAAAAAAATATTAAATGTGAATAAATTTACCTGTCATACTTAAGGCCATTTTCTTTCACCTACAGCTATTAAAGATAAATGTCTTTAAACAGGAGTTCTTACACCTTCTTTAAATATAAAGTAACAGAAAATCACGATCTATGTAATTTTAAAATCAACAATTTGGAAATAGGAGGTAGGAAACACACTGTAGCTAATGGACTTTGAAACATAACCAAAACACGACTTTTAGACCTCTGAAGTAACAGTATTAATTTTTCTACTTCGAAACTCCAGGGGACTGACACGTTCCCCACAATTATAAGCAGGTACCCTTAAAAAAAAAAAAAAAAGACAACTATATAGAGAGAGAGAGAGTTTTTTGTACCAGTGGCTACCAAAAAAAAAGGCAGAAAATAGAAGTGAAGTATCTCGCAAACATTAGCATTACATAAAATTTACACCATTTACAATTTCAAGAGCTGCATACAGCTATTCTAAGGAAAAATAAAATACAGCTTTCCAAAAGTCGCAAGATCATGGACTGAAGATGTTAAGTCATTATTCAGCTATGGTTTACTCAGCAAAATACAGGTAACTGTTTCCAAATACACTTATTTAAGAAAAGACATTTAACACTCCAACAGAAACTATGTAACATAGAAGTTAAACATAATTTAGTTGTACAGTTTGTTAATAGGGGACAAATTCAGTATTAAGACTGACATGCAAATGTAGTTGCATTGCTCCTGCACAAATTAGAACACCTTCATTTCTTCTGCACAGCAAGAAATACTCTTGTAACTTTACGCTATATAAGAGCACAGACATTCAGAAACATATTTCTGAGTGCTATAAAGTATATTCCTGAGGACATACTCTTAGTATTTAACAAGTATGAGGCAATTCGCTCAAGAGAATATCAAGTGTTGTGCAGTTAAAGGAGGAAAGGAAATAATAGCAAAAACACTAAGGAAAAAGAGAGTCTTCCAGCTGCACTGTTACTTTTAAAAATTGCTAGTTTAATACTGCATTTGTTTGGAAGGGTTACTACGTCCCAAAACAGCAGAGCTTGTCTACCTGCTAATGAGTAAACTGCCATTAGATATTGCACACATAAAATGAAAACAGTTCATAATCTGTACAACATACTTTTTCTACATTCTATTAAAATACTCTTGAGAGAAACTAAAAATGAACTTTTTACCTTGATTAAAGACGTGATCACAATTGCTCCAGCATTCACCATAGGGTTATGAGGCCTGTCTGTGAAATAAAGTTTTCAATTACTAATATATCCCAAGACACATTTGTCAAACAAAACCAGTCAATTGTTCAAGTGAAAAATTATAACTATCAATGCATGACTTAAAGCTATGATTATGGAATATAATCCTAAATTTAAAATACTGTAATCCAACATTATACACAATTTTTTGTAATTCTGCGCAAAGTATTTTACAGCTTAGAACAACTCAGCCTAATGCTACTTAACAGTACAGTAAATTAATCAGTTTGGCGTAATTTCTTTTCATGAAAATTTTCAATCCTCTCCAGTGTTCCAACATTTTATCAATGCAACATTTCCAAGTGGAACAACCCCTAAAGGACTTTCCAATTTTTCTCCAAGTTACCAAGTCTCAGCAATTTTAAAAGTGTTCAAACAAGTCCTTTAAAATACAACAGAATTCCAGTTCTTTAATTTCCTTATTGCTGTACATAAATACAAAATCCTGATTCTTTTTAAGAATCAGAGGTTTCTACTGGCAGCTGCTGAAATACAAATAACAATTTACTCATCCTCACTAGAATTTAACTTACTTTATAATTGACTTGCATATACCTGCTACACTTGAGCTTTTCTTTTTATCACTAATCTCCATATTAAGAGTACTTCTGCACTCCCAGTCATTCTTGGCTGCTCATGTGAATGAATCGCCTTTTTTTTTTTTCCTCCATTTTCCAAAAAAGCTTTCCTTATTAGCTGTCTACTTTTCCCAAATACAAGTTTTCATTCAACCTCCTACAGTTAGGTTTGGGGTTTTTTTAACTAATATTTTTGCTGTGCCTTCTAAGATGTTGATTTCTGAAGGTTCTGGTGTCTGAAAACCTGAACCAATTCTCAATACATTGTGACAGGTTTGAATTCTTTTTATTTGCTGTTACTTTGTCTCCAAATTTGAAAAAATATTAATTAAAAAACCCACACAAAGTGTTCACTATTTTTACATATAATACACACATATGCACACTAAAAGGAACTTGCGACAATTGCTTTTTGGAGATTAGCCTGATATTCACAGTACATACACACACACACATTTTCCCATGCAAATTACACTGGTCATGGTCAATGGCACCTAGCCATCTATGACCACCAGATAATCTCCAAAAACTAATCATCTCAACTTTCTTTTAGTATTTTTCAGAAAGTCAATATTAAAAGGAACTTTTTTAAAAAAAATCAAGTTATTCTATTAGTGAAAAGGTAAGACCAATACCTTCTGTCCAAAAAAGTGAAGCTCCCCTAAAAAACAAATTTAGTGTGTATATACTATCTTTAAAGTTGTTAATGCCATTCCCTATCTCTCTGCAACAGACTCATGAATTGCTCTTACTTCATCTGATTGTACTTAAGATCCACCTATATCAAACATCCTGTTCTATTCACGTCAATAACGCAAGTAACCTGGGTCAAATATATTTGACTTTTGATTAAAACTAGATTCTAAGTAGCAAAAACACAGCATTTCCATAGCTTCCTAACTGTCTCTCCTTAGGGACCAAAAACCTAAACACCAAAGACATTACAAGTCAAATGACTATTCACAGCATCACAGACTGCTGGTCAGAAGGGACATCTGGAGGTCATCTCCTCCACCCTCCCACTCAAAGCAAGGCTATTGCAAGGTTACATGAGGTCAGTCGTGCCGTTATTTAACTGAGTCTTGAAACCCTCCCAACATGGCAAATCCTCTACCTCTCTAGGCATCCTGTTCCTCCCAGATGACAAGTCTACCCTAACATCCAACCCGCACCTCCCAAGCCACAGTGTGGGGCCACTGGTCCTTGTTATACAACCTGCCACTACCAAGAGGAGTTACACAAATCTTTATCTTTGCAATTGCTCTTCGGGTGTTCTAAGTGGCTCCCAGCAGAGCCCCTAACCTCCCCTTTCAAATGCTCCTTGAGAGTTACGTGTCCTGGACCCCACAGTACCTTGGCAACCCTCCACTGGAGCCCTTCCCAGTTTTTCAATATTCTCCTTGAACTGGGAATCCCAACTCCAGACACATAGTCCAACACAACATTGGCCTCATGCTTGATGAGAACACACTGTCACCCTCATTTCTTGCTCTAGCTCCACTTCTCTGTTTCCCAGCTTCTTCTCATCAACAGCAGGTATCATTCTAGTCCATAAACACATTAACCACTTAATCATATGCAACCCATTCTAAAAGTATTTTTATAAATGTTTTCCTCTTGATTCTTCCACACATCTCTATGGTTTCAATCTGCCACACAGTATAAGGAAAAAAAAAATTTCCCAAACCCCATATCACATATATATGTGAATAAAAAGGACGTGTAGTGTTTATTTAGCATTCAGCATCTCAAAAGCTTATCAATGTGCTAAGTCAACACAGCAGAATATACCCTCAGAAATGCTACTGCATCTCATTTCCTTGAAGATGTCACCACTTACCTTCAATGTCACAAGGCATTCTTCGTTACCTTTTCCTCTACTCTGAAGATTCCTCTCTCCCACTGCTTAACACCTCAAACTACATGTGCTAGTTCTGGCCACTTTACAACCAACACACCACCATGTGCTGACCTCACATGAAGAATGGCAAGAACCTTCTGATGAAAGGAAACATGGACTTCCCTGAATGTGCTTCTGAAATGAAGTTTTGTTTTGTTCCCCCCTTGACAAGTCAACATGGAACAATCATTGTTGGAGCCTTAACAGCTAAGGGGAGGTACAGCACTCCAGCTTACACATAAAGCTCTTCTTTGAGGTTCTCTCCCACTGCTGCCTAACACCAGCACATCACAGAGCCGAGTAGGACACCTTCCATTAATCCACTGCTGGCTCTTCTAAGCAGAATAAACCCTGTCAGCATATCCAGGTCCCAGGAAAGCAATTTTCACTATTATCTGGATAGCACCAGACAATGCTATCCAAACACTTCCCATACATAGATATCTGTAATTGACAGATAACCCTTCTATCTTGCCACAATAGCTACAGGCTTCTTGAGAGGTGGCTGATACTCCAAGCCTGTCAGTGTTTAAGAAGCATTTCGACAATGCCCTTAATAATATGCTTTAACTTTCAGTCAGCCCTGAAGTGGTCAGGCAGTTGGACTAGATGATTGTTGTAGATCCCTTCCAACTGAACTATTCTATTCTATTCTACAATGAAGAACCTCTCCACAGACTTAAGATATACTGGTCTTTTTTAAGGGCTGGGATGCCTAAATAAAATCTAACATTCTGAAAAATTCCTGCTAATTTCAAAGAAGAGATGTCTCCCATTCCCGTCAATAACACTTCCATTCCCAGGTATTCTTTCACCTCTTAGGGATGTATAGGTTCTGACGCTACATTAATTTTTAAGGCAAGGCATACATAGGTCTCCTTCTAAAGCAGCAGCAACTACTGATTTACCTCACAGTGGATACCATCAGCAACGGCATTCCATGTTGTACAACCACAAGGAATGAAGGTTGATACTATAATTGCAACAGTTTGCTAAAGAGGTGAATAAAATCACCTACTAATTTTTAGAAAGAGGTATCAAACTCTGCAAAGCTAACTGACATGCATCACTAAAACCAAAAACACACACATACATTCTATATATAATCAAATAATAAAGGCAGTGATCTGCTCAGACTGGGAAGAAAAAAAAAAAAATCTTTTCTGCAGCCTCTCTGCAAGTCTCTTATAGCGATGTATCACATCATTACACTTCGGAGTAAATTCAGGTTTTTATTATAGAAGAACAAGTCATAATAATGCTTCAACTTTAACTGCGATGCCCTGATTAAGTCTAGCATTGATTCAACAATTTGCCTCTTGGATAAACAACCCACCTAACAGCCTCTGAATAGTAAATATATTCTTCTCTGATACAGCTCTCTGTTTTTCCTGTGGGAAGGAGATACTTGTCTAGAACAGCCTTTTACATAGAGAACTGCAACCTGTTAAATATCTAAATTCAAAATAAAAGAAAATATAATTTATTTAGTTTCCTAAAAATCTCTCCACTGGACATCACTATTGAATGGTGAAAAATATTTATTTTTATAATACCTCAAAACTGCTTGACAATAAGTACGATTACTCCAGCAACCTGCCATGCAATTAAGCCATATGTGAACTCAGCCTTTCCCCAATAAACTCAAATTACAGTGCTTTTCCTCTGCCAGTTCTTCTGACCTTTTTGGTCCACCATTGGCCTTCAGCCTTTCTTGTATGACTGGCTTGCAGTCTTTGAGCACAGAAAGCAGAGGCTGCCATACATACACAATACAGGCATTTTTATACACAAAACAGTTAATCATGGCAAGTTCGTTCTGAAATGACATCAAAATGTGTTTGTCCAATACAAAAACTTAAAGAATTCCATCTTTAGTTAACAAAATCCTTCAGCAGAATAAAATTTCCTGGCAATCCCTCATTCAATGACAATGCAACATTTATTACCGGACTAAGTTCTACAAACAATTATATTACTGGACTAATTCTACAAATAATTATCATCAAGAGAAGGTCCCATGTATGAATGAGAGATACTAACTGTACATATATACAGGTATTGTCAGACATGTTGCATCAACTCAATAGGCATGAAAAAACCTGCAAACTGCTCAACAGTCATAAAAATTATTCTTGATGATGCCTATTTCAGTCACATTTTACTATGTAAAAGTCCTGATCTACTTCAATCAACTGGAATAATCTGTTTTTAATTAACATGGGAATTGCTTTAGTCCTCCAGAAATGTGAATTGTTCAATAGGCCATATGTTCCCTTTGATTTTTTAAAAAAGTTTTAAAATCGAAGATTCACAAGGCTGCAGAAGTTTCCAAATTTCCATTGCACAGCACAGATCTTACTCAAAATGTACATGATTCTTAGTCACACTTTTTTTTGTTAGAAGTTGGCATTTTTAGCTATGATTTAAAATTGTCCTGTAATATTCTCCATTCTTTCCAGCTTGAATCTCAATACTAGCAAAGAAAGAAATGAAAGAACACCCTGTTTTAGGAATCTTTAATGTAGTAAGTATAAAAAGTAGGTTCAGATGCATGTCTAACCAGTTTTCAAAACCATCGTCTCACTTCATAAAATCCTGATTACAAACATGAACTTCAACTATATCAGAATAATTAGAAAGCAAATAGATTAAATATCTATATTATATATTTATTTTCAAATCTCATCTTCAGTTATGTACATTCAAACTGCCAAATACTCTGTGTATTCAGACTTCATATATCAATTTAAATCTACAAGTAAAGTGTAATCCCTTCTTCCCTCTTCCTCCTCCTTCACTCACAGAAACTCAACTTCCCTTTCTCTCCCTATAACTTCCTATTTATTAGACTACCTCCTGTTTCAGTCTTTCATTTAAGGACTGTACAGATAAAAGGCTGTTCGGGGTAGTTCTAATGCATTTTTCTGATGTCAGTTATATGAGCCACACAAGCACATACTTCAAATTTCTATCATGCGAATTAGTCCTCTCTATTAATTTCATGCACACTGGTCAAACTTTCAATAATCCCAATTGCTTTATTGGATAACAGTCTTATAAACACTCTTAAAGTCTAACAGTAATATAATAAAAGACCACAGTCTAACAATCTTCTCTCATAGTTCAACTCTAAAAGCAGCAATAAAAAGAAGAAAATAACTACTATACTTTCTGTCATTTAATTAAAAATTAAAAAAAAAAAAAACAAACCCAGAGCACCTATATTGATTCAAAGGGAAAAAAATGGGCAATTTTCAGCACCATCAAAACTTTTTTTACATGAAAGCCTTTTTAGGACATGAAAGGCAGTCTTCTTTACACTGTATGACACTGTATTTGGAAAAACTAGGAAAGCAAAAACAAGACAGCAAAGCTTGACAAAATACTTAATTCCCTCTTAGAGATATATATGCCATGTTGGTATTTCATTACTTCTTCCTAACATAATAAAAAAGATGACATAAAGTGTCAAGATCTATTTTATTTCTAAGTTTGGAATGATAATTTTAAGGTATGTGCTAAATATAATTATGTATCATTTCGGCATTAATAATATAGATATTTAAGTCAGAATTCAATACAGTCCTTGACAAAAATATCATCCAAGCCTTACACTGTTAATTAAATATTAATTGCAATACCATGGCAACAGAAACATTGTCTGTTCTCTTACTGAGAAGGATCCGCTAGAAGAAACATTTGTGTTTCAGAGATAACATCCAGTATTTCCTCTAAGGGTACATGAGTCATCCCTCTCAGATTTTTGCCATATTGTTTTTAAAAATAACATTTTCATGCTTGAGAATTAATATAATATGAAAAAGAAATAATCTAGTTAAGTACTGTACAAGAAATTATTGCTACAGCACTCCTGCCACGGGGGGAGGGGGGGGTGGATAAAAACATTGTTTCAAATCAGTAGCCAATTACAGTTTAGAATAATCTGTGGGAAGATGTGTTCACTTTTGCCTTCTGGAAACTAGCCAGCGCTGGCCTTTGGCACCAGCTTCTCAGAGGGCTGAGAAGGGAAATGATATACATGTTTCTTAAAATCAATTTAACATCTTTGATTCTTTCACCATCATTTTACAGAAGGCATGATTAAGGAACACTTGCTACCAACTCAACTAAATAAATATACATTTCAAATACCTGCATTCTCAAAATTCTTTGTTTTTTCCTACAGCTGGATACAAGCAAATAGAACAGAAGTAATAAAGCATCTTTTACTAGCATTCTAAATTAGGCAAAAGTGAGTGACAAAGGATAAGCCTACCTTGCTGATGGCAAAATATTTCAGGACACCGTCTAATAATAAGACTTAAAGAGGATACAGTAAAAGAAAAGACTGAAAAAACTGCGTAGCTTGTTTTATAATCTTCTAAAATTGAGTACTTGCATTAAGTATTATATATCTCTTACCATCTTCATTCAGGAACAATTTGTTGAATCTCAGTCCGCTAGGTTCTTTACCAACATATCTATGCACATACTCTGTGCCAAGATCATTAACAGCAATAGCATATTTCAAAGGCTTTACACAGGACTGAAGACAAAACGGAACTTTGGTATCGCCAACAGAATGCCTGGGGAAAACACAGATGAAGAGGTTTGAAATTTCCTGTTTGCCAGCTGTGGCAAGTAGAGTGTTAAATGCTTCATTAATTCTTCAACCTATTAGGACTATTAACAAAAACACCCAAAAAACTGAAAGCATATTATTATTGAGTCTCATTTTGAAGAGCAGAACAAAAAGATTTAAAGGTTTTAACAATTGCCTCCATAAGCTAAGCATAACGAAGTCACTTGCTGGTGATACAACAAAATAAAAGCACGTGCAGAAATGGATTTGTACCGGGGGGGAGGGAATCACCTCAGAGCTCTGTTATCACATTACCCTACTCAACAGGGTATGACCTGAATACAGCCACTATACATATTTATGTCTACATGAACAAAGATGAGATCCAATTCAGTTTTGGAATTTGAGGGCAGTAATTAAATAGCTGTATTTACATTCCCTTTGATAATGGCATAGGTATTTTATTACAATTATTAAATGCTATCTTTTGGAAAGTTTACTTTCAACATCTAGAGTCAGACTGCATCAAAGAATGACTCATACAAGCAGCATATACCACATCTAGAGCAAAAGGCTCCAAGCAACCACTGGTCTGACTGCAAAATCAGAAGCGTACCTGCTTCTTTCCTTTGCAGAAAATGTGAGGAGGTTCCAGAGAAACTCACAAAACCATTTTGGCATTATAAAAACTAACACTGCACAACATTAAACACTACAAAAAATTAGCATTATAAAAACTTTCATAAGTACGTGTTATAATATCCAAAACAAAGCAAAATGCCAATTTAAAATATTCAAAAAGGAGAACAGTTTTACTCTGAATAAATTATAATTCAGACACTTAAGCAGGGAGCTGAAAAATACTTCAACTCCCTTATACAGCTCTTCCTCTAGAGATTATAGAGCATATGGCTAATAAGAAACAAACATACAGGTCATAACAGATCACATTAAAATGATCCCCAATCCACAGTCACCATAAGCAAGTCTGATGCTCTCTCAAGAATGACCCATTCACTTGGGACACACCAAATACCCAAAAATTATGGTACTCAGAATAAGTAGTATGACTATATCAAACTGCAGGACAGCAAAGACATGCAAGCCGATGAGTATCACATTGTCTAGTTGCAAAGGCGGACACAGAATAGTTCACCTCACTTCTCAGCTAGATGGTGTGCAATACTCCTTTACATCTAGGCTCATTAACTGTCTCTGCTACACCGAGTCACTATTCAATAAAAATAAAATCACTCTAGCTATATTTAAGACCTATATACACCCTTACAGGAGAAAGTATTATAAACCTGAAAAGCAAAATCATGTTAAGTTCTGCCCAGTTTCCACATCTTCATTTTCTTTTTAAAGAATATGGATCTGAATTTTTTCAGTGATGTATAGTGATCATATAATAATAATGCTACAGTAAGAACATTAAAATGTAGAAAAGCAACTAACTTTTAAGTACATCGTGACTTACAGCGAAAATAATATAGCTCGAGGCACGGGTATGATTAGACAACGCTCTTCAACTTCCACAGATTAATGATATGTAAGCATTGCCTCTATCTTGTCCTTTGGTAATCACTGAAATTACCCACAGCTTCATTACTGTGTTTCGATCATAAGCACAATATAAGCTAGCTTTAAATATAGTATTTACAAATACTATTTAAACACGTTTTATAATAACAGCAAAATAATTCAGCTTCAACAGAGAAGTTGAAAGAAATGTTAAGAAAGATGACCAAGTGGATTTCACTTCTTAAACAACTCCAATAAAGCTGCTTCTTTATTAAACCATGAGATATCATGAAATGCTGTATATCATAGAATGATAGATTATCTCAAGTTGGAAGGGACCCATAAGGATCATTGAGTCCAACTCCCTGCTCCTTGCAATACGTCAGTTAGTTTAAATAACTGAAACGGTAAAATCTAGAAGTTAGAATATACCTCTGTCCATCCACTGTGCAAAGTGACACACCCCACAAATCAGGGCTGAACTTGGCCAGTTGTGGAATATAGTCAGCAACCTATCACAATACGAAATAAAAGAGACATTACAACATCCAAAATATTTAACTATATGTTAACATATGTTAATTAAAATAAATGCCAATGGAAAGGATACACAAGTTACAACTGAATTATTCCACTAATCATCACCTAGTATATCTAAAACTTCATTACAAATTATTATATTCACTACATCATTATCAATTTTTTTTTTTTCAATGAAACTACAAACTTCAGCACATTCTGAGAGGAATCTCTGTTCTTTGTTACAGCATGTTTAGCCTTTTCAAATCATATAAAACTTTAGCTTGTAACAAATTTTGGCATTTTTCATTTAATTTATTGAAAATAAGCACTAGAATAAACTTTAATTACTAACACAAGTATGGTGTTGACAACTACTTCTGTCACACAACCCAGGCAGCTGTGTAGACTCGCATAATTTTATAGACTAAGTTTGGTCTGGCAAATTATACAGCAGTTTTACAGTTTATGTAAAATAAAGAACAAACACCACTATTTTCTGTTTCTAACCTCAAAATTGTAAAAGACCGTTAGAAGTAAGGAGCTTTATTTCTAACACAGTTTATAAGTTGCAGACATAGCTGAACTTCCAAAACTAGTTTATCAAGTTATCAGTTTAACATTTTGCTCAAAATGTGAAGAAAAATCTGTCTACTTAACAAATATATTTGGTTAATATCAAGAAATTTATAGAAGCTTGAAGTTGAATTTATAAACAGATTACCTTTCCTCCAGATTGTTTTTTAGCACTTTCATATAACTCATCAATATGTGAAGTAAACGACATAAAATCTGGAATGACAAACTTCCTCCTGAAAGCTTGAGTAAGCAACACAATATTACTTTGTACACACCTGTAAAAAGTTTAAAAAAATGTATTAGTATTTTGACAAAGTACTGCCAAAAAGCCTACTTAAGCAGCAATTACATGTTATTTAAATAAGAACCATCAGTGCCTAGAAGTTATATGCTTACAAGAACAGGTCTTTACTAGAAAGACTTCAATTTTCCACTCTGTAAGTTGCAAGTATTTTTTTTAATATTTAAAATTGTTTCATTGCATTTGCTTTTATGCCTTTTTATTTAAAGCCCTTATTTGAAGCTTCAACTGTAAGGCTGTACTGCCAAGTACTATCAATTTGCCTTTGAGTAGGACCTAAGCTTGCAAAAGCCACCCATTTCTTAGGATCAAGACATGTGACAGCCACCTAACCCAGCCCTTGTCCAAAGAAGTGCTAATTTCAGAGTTAGATTGGACTTCTGAGGTTCAGGGTTGGTTTCTCTCACTTCCAACTTGGTTCACCGCGAACTGACAAAGAACACTGCCAACAGACCAAACTGGAATGAGTTTCCACTCTAATAAGAACAAAACCCTGTGGAAGTACTCGATAACATCTTCTAAACTAAAGTTAACAGTGCACAGTACTGCAAGTCTCTTGCTTCAAACTATCATCACTTCAAGGAATCTTTGCTGCTTTTTAACCCACAATACATTATCGCCCACACCCTCTGAACATCAACCCATCTGCTACATTTAAAAACCTGATGAGGTAAAAAGGAAAGGACTTATCTAGGTGAAACAGAAAGGAAGGATCAAAACACAAGCTGAGACATGCTGCTTAAAGTGGTGTGCCTGTGGGTGGGGGGAGAGCAGGAGCAGGGGTGGCGACTGGGAGCTGTTATCACATCAGCTGAAATATGACCTGATAAAGGCTATTAAGAGACCTATCCCAGTGCAAGGAAGAGAAAGGGAAACATCAAACAAACAATTTCATTAACACGTTCATACTACGCAGAAACAAACTGTTAATTCAGACAAACGGGAATAAGAACTTCTAGGCCCATAGTACAAATGAACACGTATCCTTTCACTAAACTCAGAAAAGTAAATACTAATTTTTAGGGAAATACTTCCACTTGGAATAGATACTTCCAATAATCCTATTATTAAAAGTCATTATCAGTTCAAAATGAAGCTTCTTGAAGACCAGTGAACAGACAGAATTATCTTCCCTTTGAATCCGCCTCTCTTTTTTTTAAAGCTTCAGTCTGAACTCCTTTGTACTTAGGAGACTTTATCGCAAATTCAGCTGACAACCACTTCAAATGCTGGAAGGCACTACTCTCCAAAAGTGAAAGAGAAACAATAGAGAAGTTTCCATTGTACAGACTAGCATCTTAAGAATTGCTCTGTCTGTAATAAGCTGCTTTGACAGTCTATGTTGAAACAGCAATTGAGTTGGTTCTGTTGTAATCTGTCATGCTTATCCACTCCTTTTTTACATACCTTGCAAAAAATCCTGTTTGTTTTTGTTTCCAGCAGCCTCCAAATAGTTAGCTACCGCAGGTGCAACAACCCCTTTTCAAAAGCAATTAGTAACAGTTATGGCAGCTACATGTGCTGAAGGAATAACAACACATATATGCACCAGGTTTAACCTTCAGATGCACTTCTGCATTGTCTGAATCACCTGGACAGCATTAACAACTCTTGTAAGAAAAAAAAAAGTATTTGAAGTTCACCTAAACCTATTAGAATTACTCAAGAATACAAAGTGTGGAAAACAACAAGAAGGCAGTATGCACTGAAATACAGTCCTCTGATACTACATTATGTCTCTGAAACAGGAAGGGCATTTATACACTTGCCAATTCACATCAAGTCTAGCATGTTCACTTCAATAATTCAATCATTTTAAGCTTGAAATTGAAACTCACTGCAGAAATAGCTATGGGGGTTAAGGACATTACCTATTTCTGCAAGAAGTCATTGTTCCCAGACTTCTGCCAAGGTCAGTGTCTGCATATTTATCCTTGTACTCCTTAACCCACGCAAATCATATGAATTCACAGACATTAAATATGAGGGTTCAATTAATCTAGATGGGTATTTGGAACGATTACTGCATGGACAAAATGACAGGGGTCTTAGTAAGCTCCAATTAATGGGGCAGTAATATTTTCAGTCAGTACAGGACACTAGCCTTGACAGCCTCTGATATTCTGCAACTGGCATCTCCTCCCCAATGGAGTTTCTAACTGGTTTATGTTCCAGGTAACCCTTCGGAGACAAATGGTCTGAGGTTCAGGAGAAGTGGATCAGTAGGAAAAGATCATAGGGAGGAATTTAAGTAAATGAATATATTGACAAATAAAAATCTTTCTACAGTTAAATTTTATGAACAACATAGCCCTTATCCCCCACATACTTTAGCAGTGTTCAAAATAGGTACACTAAAAACTTCCCATCTCAAATTCTTCCACTTCTCCAAATTTTATAATCTCACCCTAAAAAATTCTGTCTTGCCGAATCCCAATCCAAGCACTTCTTCCCCCATTTGAAAACCTGTCTTTTTAAACTATAAAACTTCCGATACATTTGGGTTAGGAAGATTAGGATGCAAGTCTTATGCTCTATAGTAACTTTCAGCAGAAGTAACAGTTTGGGGTTTTTTGGGGAACCGAGTCTTTGGTCTCTAGCATAAAGTTACGATGACGTTGTTTCCTTTGTCATACAACTTTTATCTATTCTTTTTCAAGTTCTGGCTCAGCTTGCTG